GAAGAAGAACCTGCGACAAATCAATGTCGCCAACGCATTTCTCTACGCACCCGTCGACGCCAAAATCTTCGTCGAACTCCCACACGGTACCCACGGAAACCCCAATCAGGTCTGCCAGCTAGTGAAATCGCTCTACGGAATCAAACAAGCCCCGCGGCTGTGGCAACAGCACCTACACACCCGACTCACTCGCATCGGATTCCGCCAACTGCCGCACGACCAAGGAATGTATCGATTCACTAAAGACGCCGATTACATCCTACTGATCGTCTACGTCGACGACCTACTCTACATCGGCTCCACCGACGACATCACCACCTAGTTCGAAAGGGAGCTGCAGAAGTGACAAAAGTTAGAAGAAAGAAAAGAGGATTGAACTAGCAGAAATGGGGATACAAATAGCAAACCCTAGAAGGGTTGTACTCGCTATAGAGCACCCCACTACAGGCTAGAACATAAGAATAATATTCTGACACACCCCCATAGCCAAAGTGGGGTGTAATCAGCAGAGCAGGCAAAGCAAAACAAGCTCAGGGTGGATCACAATGTCACCACACATTCTGAGCACAAGTTCAATAAGAAATAGTTTAGAGTTCACAATTATAAGCAAAGCTAGTGGTAGTCACAACGGGCAAGTGAGGAGGAGGAGGGAGAGTGAGGGGAGAGGAGACAGGAGGCGACGGCTGAAGCTGCAGACACACGGGCAACAGGAGGCAGACTGGCACAGCGGCTACCGGACAGCGCCCGGACTACAGGAGTAACAGGCCCCGCGGCTCAAATAGCGGCGGACGGGCAACGGACCCACGGGCGGCTGGCACAGCTGGCTACGACTGGGCTACCGGGACAGCGCCCCGGACTACAGGTGCTGCAGACGACAAGCTGGCAGCCTCCGCTCAACCTCCCGCAAACAGTCCCACCCCCCTGATACATACCCACTGCTACACCGCTAGCTCTACTCCCACGCACCCCCCTTAAACCCTAAACCCCAGTCTCCCACACAACCACCCCCCTCAGCGACAGCTGCAGCAGTGGGAGACGAAGGAGGAGGAGGAGAAAGGGAGGAAGGCACACCGGCCACCCCCATACCCGCCACCCCACAGCTCGCCCCTGAGGGGAGGGCGGGGCCGCAACAAGGGGCGGGGCCGCGACGAGCGGGGCGGGGCCGCGACGGTCGGGGCGGGACCGCGACGTAGGGCGGGGCCGCGACAGGTCGGGGCCGCGAAGGTAGGGCGGGGCCGCGTAGGGTCCGTGGCGGGGCCGCGACGGTCGGGGCGGGGCCGCGACGCAGGGGCGGGGCCGCGACGGTCGGGGCCGCGACGCAGGGCGGGGCCGCGACGAGGGCGGGGCCGCGACGGTCGGGGCCGCGACAGGTCGGGGCCGCGACTCAGGGCGGGGCCGCGACGTAGGGCGGGGCCGCGTTGGTCGGGGCGGGACCGCGACGTAGGGGCGGGGCCGCAACGTAGGGCGGGGCCGCGACAGCGGGGTAGAAGCCCGCCGCGCGCCTCGGGGCGCACAGCGGGCAAAGAACCGCCGCGCGCCTCGGGGCGCACGGCGGGCAGAAAACCGCCGCGCGCCTCGGGGCGCACGGCGGGCAGAAAACCGCCGCGCGCCTCGGGGCGCTTGGCGGGAGGAAAAAGTAGCAGCGGAAGCGAGGTGGTAACCCACCCACAGGATCGATCCAAGGGGATCGACCTGCTCTGATAGCATGTCAAAATTAGAAGGAAGAAAAAGGGTTGAACTAGCAAGAATGAGGATACAAATAGCAGGGGGGGGGGGGGGGAGGCGGTGTGGTGAAAGGGGCCCAAAACGGGCCTGGTTGGAGGGCGGGGCCGCGACAAGGGGCGGGGCCGCGACGAGCGGGGCGGGGCCGCGACGTAGGGCGGGGCCGAGCCGGGCAGGCGCACGGGCGGCGACGGGCCGGGGCGGGGCCGCGACGAAGGGCGGGGCCGAGCCGGGCAGGCGCACGGGCGGCGACGGGCCAGGGCGGGGCCGCGACGTAGAGCGGGGCCGCGTCGAGGGGCGGGGCCGCGACGATCGGGGCGGGGCCGCGACGTAGGGGAGAAGCCCGCCGCGCGCCTCGGGGCGCACAGCGGGCAATGAACCGCCGCGCGCCTCGGGGCGCACGGCGGGCAGAAAACCGCCGCGCGCCTCGGGGCGCACGGCGGGAAGAAAACCGCCGCGCGCCTCGGGGCGCACGGCGGGAAGGAAAACCGCCGCGCGCCTCGGGGCGCACGGCGGAAAGGGAAAGGTAGCAGCGGAAGCGAGGTGGTAACCCACCCACAGGATCGATCCAAAGGGATCGACCTGCTCTGATAGCATGACAAAAGTTAGAAGAAAGAAAAGAGGGTTGAACTAGCAGAAATGGGGATACAAATAGCAAACCCTAGAAGGGTTGTACTCGCTATAGAGCACCCCACTACAGGCTAGAACATAAGAATAATATTCTGACAAGAAGGACCTCACGCTCACGGTTTCTTCTACCGTCACCCAGTACCTCGGGCTCAACATCCGCGAAGAAGAAAATGCTATCTACTTAAGCGTCGAGAAATACGCCGACACTATCTCCAAGCGCTTCTCGCTCACACCTACCGCTATCGCCATGCCATACCGCTACACGGCAGGAAGTAACAAAGGAAATTCCGCTCCACTCAAGGCTGCCGGAATACGAGACTACCAGAGGAAACTGGGCTGCCTCCTCTTCGCAGCCGTCACCTGCCGCCCGGATCTATCTTACTCCGCAAGCCAACTCGCTACCTACCTCAAGAAACACGAAGCAGAGCACCTGGCGGAGCTCGATCGCGCACTACACTACTTGGTGAGCACTCCGACGATTGGCCTGACTTACTACAAAAACGAAACTACGACCACGAAACTAATCGGCTACGTCAATGCCGATCATGCCGGCGATTCCGACAATAGGCGCTCTCGCACTGGCTACGTTTATCGTCTCGAGCCTATCGGACCAATCTCCTGGCAGTCGAGCAAGCAGGAAATAATCGCTCTCTCTTCAGCTGAAGCAGAATATATCGCCCTCTGCTCAGCCACCAAGGAAGGACTCTACCTTTGCGAGCTGCTGGAAGAAGCAAGGTTAGCCGAGTTACCCAACTTTACCCTATTCTGCGACAACCAATCTGCAATTCGCATCGCCAACAAAAGCGGATTCGCGAACAGAACGAAGCATATCGCTCTGCGATACTTCTTCGTGAAAGACGAGATCGAGAAAGGGAAACTCGAATTATCCTACTGTCCCACATCCGAGATGGCAGCCGATTACTTGACCAAGAAACTCGGAAAACAGAAGTTCGAGTACTGCATGCTGCTGACTGGACAAGGCCACGTCACCATTAACGACACTCCAGAAGCGAAGGGGAGTGTTGGGAACATTAAGTCTTAAAGCGCCTCTGTCGTGTCGAAACTCAGGACACAAGCGAAGCAGTCCAAATCGAAGCATCGCGAGTCAACCCTCGGAGGTTAGGGTAACCGCCTGGCAGGGTCGTCGCTAGGATTTGAGGGCGCCTGATGGATCAGACGGGACCTTCGGGCCCGTCTGATCCATCTGATTCTGTTATTTACCGTGTCTGATGTATCAGATATTTTCGAAATGCAAGTCTGACGCAATTGATTCAGACTAGACCAGTCACAGCAGAATCACCCCCTCACAGCAAACTCGGACCGTCACAGCAGATTCACCGTCACCCTGACACAGCAGATTCGTCCCGTAACAGCAATTTCGCCCCTGACACAGCAGATTCGCCCCCTGACACTAACAGATTCGCCCCCTGACACTAACAGATTCGCCTCCTGGCGCATCAGATTCGCCCATTCACAACTCGAATCCCATATTCACCCCTACATAGCTGGATTCGGTATCAGACGAAACGAAAACTAGAACCTGATTGATCAGATAAACTCAAAAACTACTCCTTATCAATCAGAAATTACAAAAACAAATTTCTGAAAAATCAAATGAACTCTAAAAACTCGATCTGAATATAAGACAAACAGACAGAAAATTTCTGCTAGCGACGACCCTGCCGCCTGGAGGTTACGCGAAGGTCAAAAGTCAGTGACCTTTGACTTGACAAATACAGCGCGACAGCAAGGACACACAACTGACTCGACATTGAGCAGTTGCCCGAGTCGCACTGTATCGAATCGCAACAGCAAAACAGTTTAATAATATCTATTCGTATTCCTTGTACTCTTATATAAAGCCTTGTATTTGCTTGTTTTAATCAACTTACTTTGCCCTCACATACTAGCGCAAGGTGGTTCAAGGACCTTTCATTCAAACGCTTCCGCTATTACAATCCTACTTAGACTTTAACTCTACAAAGATCCTAGGGCATTTCAGCCCAACAATTAGGTCGTTTCGTATTCCACCTGTACTCTTAATTAATATGTTTGTATTTGCATGTGTTTATCATCTCAATCATTTTACATTCACTCTGATTTGAGCTCAAGGGCCCACCACTACCACCTGATTGTGTGCGAACCTTCCCAAGGTGATCCTGGGTACCGTAGTGCCGTACCCCTGCTGGGTACGATCACCTTCTGATCGCAGCAAAATCTAGACCAACAGATTAAGTTGTTATGATAAAGAGAGCCCTACCAGGGTGTTATGTCTGGAAGAATACAGTCAGGTAACCAGTTTTGTGGCAATTTTAATCTTGAACTTGAAAACAACCATGTACGTAATTGGGCTCAAGTCCGAGTGAATGTAAAATGACATCAAGTCAGAGTGAATGTAAAATGACTGAAGTGGTTATATCACAAGCACACATATATTTATGTATAGAATACATGGAATACGAAGCGGTACGTTTCCATACCCATGGAATACATGGAACACATACACTAGCCATGTACTCTAAGGGGTACGTTCCCTTACCCCTGGCAATATGCAATCGATCCCCTCCAAAACAAGGCAAAGAAATTTGAAATCAGCTAGGCTTCCGCCTAGAGGTGTCTTTGTAGTAATTGACGTACAATCAGTGGCTTCAAGGAGAGCAGCTGATAGAGCGCAGCAACGCGACTTCTCCACTTGTGGTCCTGCAGCGGCCCCAGTCAGGGCAAGGCAACAAAACAAGAAAACAAATCAGTCAGTTTGAGCGAGACTTGATAACAACAAACCAAGGAATTTGGGTAAGGGCAACGCAAGCAGGAAAATTGCACATGCTAGCACAAACACCAGTGAAACGGAATACGGTAGCTATCAGCATGTGGCACTCACGCAGCAGTGGTAACATTGTTGCCGGGGCGATACCACCCTGCGGCGCGGCCATAGCAGTCCGCCCCGTTCCAAAACCACATGAGCCCACACACCACCCTGCGGCCCGTGGCGCCATCAGGCGCATCCCACAGTATCTTCAGCGACCCCACCGCCCCTGCCATTGGCGCCGGCACGTTCACACAGCCGGCAGGGCGAGCAGCGCCGGGAGTGGGCGCTCGGAGGATGATGGGGCCGAGGGTGGCGGGTGCATTGGTGAAGGAGGGGCGGTTGAAGAGAGCAATGCTGGTGGTGACTGTGGTGGATGAGGCTGGAGGGAGGCAGGCGGGAAGGGGATGGAAGGTGAAGAAATGGGGGTGATGCAAGATTGGTGTCGTGAGTAGATGGATGAGAATGGAGGCGCAAGTAAATTAAGATGGATGAAATGTTTGGTGTAAACGATAGAGAGGGAACAAAAGCAGAGGTAAGAGTCACAAGCTTAAGGAGCACTTCAAAGGCACCTCAAAGGTCCGATGTTAGCGGAGCGATAGAAGAAACGCCCTCCTACAAGCCACCTCGAAACCTTCTGCCCCTGAACCAGCACTCACCCAGGCATGTGTTGGAAGCGGTGAGCACGGTGCCCTGGGGGCACACACACTGCGCTGCTCCAGACGAGCCGTCACACACCAGGTCCCCTGCACACCTGCTCGCCCCCCTGCATGGGTCTGCATTCAAAGGGAGAAATGGGGTGTGAGGGTGAGGAAGGGAGGTGAGTATGTGCAATATTTAACATCCTGATGATCGGGAACGGAGAGATGGGAAGGGTGGGTGAAAAGCACACACGAAACACGCCAAGCAACCAGCAGCGCACGCCTCTCAGGCTCACCTGCTTGGCACTTGCCATTGACCAACGCCTGGCCTTGCGCGCACTGGCACTTGGGGTTGCCCCCCACTGCCGTGCAGGTGGCTGTGGATGGGCAGAGCGCTCGGAAGCAGGGGTCCTGCACTGCCGTGGGGACGCATGGGGTGGAGGGGAAGGGGAAGCAGGGGAGCGTGTGTGTTGGGGGGAGACCACGAAGAGGATACGGCCAAGGGAAGCATGCAAGCGGAGAAGGCAAGGGCTGGAGGGTGAAAGGGAGAGGGCAAGGGGGAGATGACAAGAGAAGAGGACAAGAGAAGAGATCAAATGGTGGAAATGAGGGGCAACCAGCTGTCACAGCAGGAGCAGCGCATGGGGCTGGATGGCCCTTACAAGAACGTGGAAGGCACGCAGCAGTGCGTACCATAAGGCAGCTGGCCGTTGCAGTGCGTACCATAAGGCAGCTGGCCGTTGCAGTGCGTACCATAAGGCAGCTGGCCGTTGCAGTGCGTACCATAAGGCAGCTGGCCATTGCAGTGCGTACCATAAGGCAGCTGGCCGTTGCAGTGCGTACCATAAGGCAGCTGGCCGTTGCAGTGCGTACCATAAGGCAGCTGGCCGTTGCAGTGCGTACCATAAGGCAGCTGGCCGTTGTAGTTGCCTGGCGGCGAGTAGTGGCACGCCCACACGTCGCTGCGCGTGCCACACGACGCCTTGGCACACCCCAGCCTGCGCGTGTTGTTCCACACCACCTGCACCCCCCGCCCATGCCACGCACACGAGACACAAGGCAGTTGTGAGTAGAAGGAAGGAAAAATCAGTTAGAAATGAACCGCCACGTGCATGCAGGCAGGCGCAAGCATTGAGACGTCTGCGCCTGGCGATGAAGTGTTTGTAAAAGCTACTGCTCGCCACTCACCTGCGTGTAGTGGCCGCACTTGGCCCAATCACCGCCCGCACAGCCGTTGGGGAACACTCCGAGTTGGTACCACTTGCCCTCGTCCACCCACCAGCGCACCGCATCGCCGTTGGACGCCCATCCGCTGGGGCTGGCGCCCGACAGGTTCTGCCCCTCGCCGCTGGCGCCGCCGTGCTGCAGCTGGCAGTTGTGCGCACTCGACGCCAGCGCCTGAACCCATGCCCTGGCCCTTGATGCCACTGGGAGTGGGGATGGGGGCCGGGGGAAAGGGAAGGGATAGAAGGGAGAAGGAAAAAAGGCAGAAGGAAGGAGGAAGAGGAGGGAATGAGGGGACTGAGAGACAAGCGTGCACACAGAGACGCCATGGCACATGCAAGCACCACCCACATGCGCCATGCTGCATGCATGCACCCCTTCACCCCAGCAGCAGCACTCACGGGCATCATCCCACACGAGGGGCGCGGCGCCCACAGCGGCGCGGGCGGCGTTGTGTTGGTCCAGGTAGTCCGAGTTGGCGAGCGCAGCGGACGAGCACTGGTTGTTGATCAGCCGCTTTGAAGGGCGCCGGGCATTTGCACACCGCTGCACCGTTCTGCACCGCGCACTTGGAGACATCGAGGCACTTGACTCCGTAGCATGGGTCTGAGGAGGAGATCGGGGGGGGGGGGAAACAGGGGGGGGAAAAAGGGGGGTGGGGGGGGGGGGGGGGGGGGGGGGGAAAGAAAAGGGTTGGGCATTCACCGCCGCGCCCCTGGACAGGTGCGAACATTTGCCATCCTCTCCTTCTCCCCCCCACTCTCCCTTCTCCCTCCTCTTCCTCTTCCTTTTGACACGCGGGCACCTCAATCTCAGCGATGAGAGGGGGAGAGCGCCGCGGGGGCAGGATGCAGGGAGTCAACGAGGCGCGCGAATAGTGTTGCAATCACCTGAGCACGAGCACTTGGCAACGCCAGAGGAAGCGGAGCAGGAGCAGCCGTTCGGGCACGTCACGAACGAGCACGCGTCGCTGCCAGCCGCACCGCCGCGCCATGGGCTGCGCCGAGGCGCCCCTCCACCGACCGGCGCCTGCAGCGACGGCGGCGGATGCGGACGCGAGGTGGCGGGAGAGGAGGGTGGCATGGAGGAGGGGAAGGAGGAGGAGGAGGAGAAGAGGGGTGGCGATTGCGGTTCGCATTCTACTTGTTACACGCTCCATCTGACATTACACGCTCCATCTGACAACCAATAGTGCCGATCAGTGTGAGATCGAGAAAGAAAATGGAGCGACAACTTATGAGTCGCGAGTGGCGAATTTAGCCAGGTGAGAATGGCTGGTGGATGGCTGCGGTTATAATAACTTCGGCGAGGACGGATAAGGTACGAACGCGAGAGCGGCTGAATTCTGAACGAGAATACGCGGACCAAGCCATGGCGGAGGCGAGCGAAGGAAGTGCGCTTAGCGTAAACGAAACGAGACGGGTGGCTTAACCGGGTCGCCTCGGACCACTCGGACCACTCGTACGCGGCTTGCAAGTTGGCGACGAGGCACACGAGTGCGGGTTGCGGCTAAACAGAAAATGGTCGGACCCAGAAGGTCGGTGGAGGGTTGAACTTTCTGAACTCACAGCGACCGCGGAGAAGAGAGTCCATCTACCAACCAACCAACTCGGCATCCATGTCTGCTGTTGTAACGGATCTACTGACAAAAGGGGCATCTGCCTATTTATCGATAGGTTGTAATACAAACCGAGAGTAGCAGCTCCTGGAAATTACAAATTACTAAGTCTGAAGAGTGCTAGGAGATTTTTTTTTTAAGATTATTTGATAGTCAAACACCGAAGAACAAGTATATGCTACCAAAGACAGTCGTAACCGTGCTTAAGGAACAGTAGACGAAACTACCGCCCCAGCCAAGAAACTGAGGGACGAGCCCTCCTGTTGGACCAGATCCCCGCAAAAGCATTTGTCCATTTCCAACTATGCCATCATGCCTTATCTTCTGCAGCAGCCTCTGTTCCTCTGACGGACCCTTCTGCTTCTGCTTGCGCCACGTCACCCCGAACTTGCGAAGGTAAATTTTTGCATGTTGCTTGAGAGCGAACTCGATCTTATGCAGCAGCCGTTGCGTTCTGAATTTCCCGCCCCAAAACACAGCATCACAGCGCTCCAACCACAGTTGGTGAAAAGTGATTGCCGTGATGGTCAGCTCCGGAAAAGCTGAGCTGGTGCTGGTTTTCCGGAACAAGAGGTCGCCCAACGTGGCCGTTGCACGTTGGGGTTGAACATGCATAGGGCACGTCGAAGGGCTGTGATGACAGCCTGGATGTGAGGGCACTCAACGAGGCAGTGCTCCAGGGTCGCAAGCTCCCCGCAGTATGGGCAGATGGCCTTGCTGCTGAGGAAGGACAGCCGCTCTCCCACTTGTAAATTGAGGCCGTGGATCCGGATGAGCACATCACGTGGACGGCTGGGGACCGCCAGCGAGTCACGCGTCCGGATCACCCGTTTCCAATCAATCTGCCCGTTCCACCGTTCTGCCCACTTCTGCTGCTTTGTATGACTGGATGTGAACTTCCGTCCAAGCCTCCCTCATCTGCCGCAAAGGGATTAACTGCCCGTTCGAAAAAATATTCAACTTCCCTCCAGAGCCAGCCGAGCAAGGGAGCACCGTCGGAAACCCCAGCACACGGAGCCACAGCGCAGGAATAGCGCCCAGTGCCTTCGTTGCTAGCCTCGCAGGACCGCTCCCCCCTAGCCTGTGAGTCAACTCCGTCATGGATAGCGACCTCAACTCGCCATCAACCCCCTCCTCTAACAGATCTCCCAGCCGGATCTCTCGCAACTGCTTCGCATCCTTCTGCCCTCCAACCGGGGTGGACCCGTTGAGCAGAATACGCGCGTTGAAAACCACCCTTTCCTGCAGCACTTCCTCCCTTTTCACACTGGGAGATGCAGTAACAAACCCTAGAAGGTGAGTTGATGAGAAGAATCTGTCGAAGATTAAGTTGAAAGGTGAGGGGCCTAGGCTTAGTAGCCTAGGCCTTTAACTAGGTATCGAGCGGGTTTTCACCTAGGGTGAGTGTCGAGTGAGTTGTGAGAGAGAAATTGGAGAATGGGGTTTCACTATAGGATTCGAGATACATATAGCAAAGGAACACATGAAGGGGTGCACCACCTACAAATTTAATAACTACACTACAGCTAGAACTTCATGCAGTTATAATAAATATGATTTTGACATCCCCCCGTAACTGCATGCAGGAATAGCTAAGTGTCGAGCACAACCTGCAGAGGTACACCAACGAGCAATAAAACAAGCAACAGCAGGTACTGCAGGCGGGCTAACTTTGAAAGGTTACCCCCTCCATCTCCTCACCCTCCTCCTTCCCCTCCCCCACACTGCTGCAGAAGCAGCAGAGAAGGGGGGAAGAGAGGAGAGGTGGAGGGACGGCTGCTTGTTGCCTCACACCCGCCACCCCGGTACCACTCCCCCTGCTCACCCACATCCTCACACCCTCCCCCCCCAGCGGCAGCTGCAGCGGTGGGACTGAAAGAAGGAGGAGGGGAAGGGAGAGAGTTGACCCCACGCTCCAACACCCTCCACCCCCATACCCTCCTCCCCACGGCTGCAGGGAGACAAGAGAAAGGGGGGGGTGGGAAGGAAGAAAGCCGCAGAGCGGCGAAGAGGCGTCGGTGCAGATGGGTCAGGGGCGGCAGCAGGGAGTGCAGGGGCGGAGAGGCCCGTCGCGGGCCAGTGCCACGGGGCGCACGACGGGTAGGATAAAAGGGCCCGATCGTGTGCCTCGGGGCACACGACGAGCAGGGCACCATCGTGTGCCACGGGGCGCACGATGGGCAGATAAAGGGCACCGTCACGTGCCACGGGGCGCGCGACGGGCAGGGTAGGAGTCACACGCCCGTGGGCGGGACAAAGTAAAACTAAAATCGTCACGCGCCCTAGGCGCGCGACCGGAAAATCTCAGCAGCGGAAGAGTAACGCGGGCCCACAGGCCAGGACGAAAACAGCTCCGATAACATGTCGAACTTAAAGTAGATTAAGTTGAAAGGTGAGGGGCCTAGGCTTAGTAGCCTAGGCCCTTAACTAGGTATCGAGCGGGTTTTCACCTAGGGTGAGTGTCGAGTGAGTTGTGAGAGAGAAATTGGAGAATGGGGTTTCACTATAGGATTCGAGATACATATAGCAAAGGAACACATGAAGGGGTGCACCACCTACAAATTTAATAACTACACTACAGCTAGAACTTCATGCAGTTATAATAAATATGATTTTGACAGAATCATATTTCCCAATTGATTTGTTGGGGATAGGAAATAGAGAATGAACCAGAATGGCCCAGACCAGGGCAAATTTTATCAATGTAAATCACCCTGATACCCTGATTATCAGGGTGGTTTTCGGTTGTCACACTTATGGCCTAGAGTAATTTTTTCGGGAGCTAGAATTTTCCTGATATGCCAGGGTTCACATTTAAGGCGACTGATGACTCAGGGCTACCGATTTCATAACGAGTTTACCCTGAAGCGAGTAACATGCCCCCCCCCCTCTTCCCCCCCACTCTTCCCCTCCACCCCCTTCCCCCTAACCCCGCGCACTTATGTCCCGGTAGAATTACTACAGTCCTAATAATTTGAGCTATTATAATACAGATGTTGGATTGGCCCGGTCGGTAGATTGGATTTCGAAAGGTTGATGACTTGAGATCGAATCCTATAGCCCGCATTTTTATTAAGAACTTCAGTAGAAACACTTCATCAGGGTATTGAAAATTGTACACTGTGGCAAGGGTAATGTTTTGAAACTATGGAAAACCCTGATGGAAAAGAAATTTCCCCAGGGGTCACACTTGTTAAAATTAGAAGAAAGAAAGAGGATTGAACTAGCAAGAATGAGGATACAAATAGCAAACCCTAGAAGGGTTGTACTCGCTATAGAGCACCCCACTACAGGCTAGAACAATAAGATAATATTCTGACACACCCCCATAGCCAAAGTGGGGTGTAATCAGCAGAGCAGGCAAAGCAAAACAAGCTCAGGGTGGATCACAATGTCACCACACATTCTGAGCACAAGTTCAAGAAGAAATAGTTTAGAGTTCACAATTTATAAGCAAAGCTAGTGGTAGTCACAACGGGCAAGTGAGGAGGAGGAGGGAGAGTGAGGGGAGAGGAGACAGGAGGCGACGGCTGAAGCTGCAGACACACGGGCAACAGGAGGCAGACTGGCTCAGCGGCTACCGGACAGCGCCCGGACTACAGGAGTAACAGGCCCCGCGGCTCAAATAGCGGCGGACGGGCAACGGACCCACGGGCGGCTGGCACAGCTGGCTACGACTGGGCTACCGGGACAGCGCCCCGGACTACAGGTGCTGCTGACGACAAACTGGCAACCTCCGCTCATCCTCCCGCACACAGTCCCACCCCCCTGATACACACCCACTGCTACACCACTAGCTCTACTCCCACGCACCCCCCTTAAACCCTAAACCCAGTCTCCCACACAACCACCCCCCTCAGCGACAGCTGCAGCAGTGGGAGACGAAGGAGGAGGAGGAGAAAGGGAGGAAGGCACACCGACCACCCCCATACCCGCCACCCCACAGCTCGCAAGCGGCCCCCTCAGGTCGCCACGACGGACGACGGGAAATGGCAGGGGGGGGGGGGAGGCGGTGTGGTGAAAGGGGCCCACCACGAGCCTGGTTGGAGGGCGGGGCCGCGACAAGGGGCGGGGCCGCGACGAGCGGGGCGGGGCCGCGACGTAAGGCGGGGCCGCTTCGAGGGGCGGGGCCGCGACATAGGGCGGGGCCGCGACGTAGGGCGGGGCCGCGACGGGCAGGCGCACGGGCGGCGACGGGCCGGGGCGGGTCCGCGACGAAGGGCGGGGCCGAGCCGGGCACGCGCACGGGCGGCGACGGGCCGGGGCGGGTCCGCGACGAAGGGCGGGGCCGAGCCGGGCATGCGCACGGGCGGCGACGGGCCGGGGCGGGTCCGCGACGAAGGGCGGGGCCGAGCCGGGTACGCGCACGGGCGGCG